CGGCCCGGCACAATTGCGTGCTGCAACGCCGGCAGTCGTTCATCAGGAGCCAGTCACACGTGTTTGCTAAAGCGCTTCAAAAAAATTAAAAAAAAAAAAAAAAAACACGCAGCTCCCCGAGAGCGCTCTTACCGCAGCGTGTTTCAAGCGTGCCTCTGCGTGCAAGCGGTTTGTATCTCAGTTACAGCCAAAGAGCCATTTGGATGGGGTGGTTGCTATGGTAATTGCTTTGCTCGGGAGCTACAAGAATAGCTTACGGCTCCTGCAGGTTGCTGCTGCGTAGGCTGCCTTGAACTGGAGACATCTCCATGCTGTTTTGGAGAGGGCCGGGGAGTTTCAAGCGCAGACTTTTGAGACAGCTCTCCCTTTGTACAGCTAATGTTGAGTTTAACGTTTGCAGAGGATGTGTCGCAGGTCTAAACGTGCGGCGGGTTCAAAAATAAAAGCGGTAGACAAGAGCGGTAGGGCAGCCTTGCAGCTGAGGTTTCTGGTGGGGGTGAAGAAGATCTGGATTCGTGCTCCATTACTGCTGTTAGCAGCTGGTAGGAAACGGGACTGGTCGTGCCGAGGCCCATCTTCAGCGGTGAGGGGCCTGGGAAGCCGGGGCGCTGGGGATGGCCTGCGTACGGCCCCGGCACCAGCAACCAAGCGTACCTGCTTGGTTTTGCAGGCAGAGAGCAGAAAAAGGGGATGAGGACGTAGCAAAGGGCTCGGAGAAGGGGCTGGAGAGGTTAGGATGAAAGGAGGGAGCAAACAAGCAGGGGAAAGGTTTTGCATCACAGTGCAAACCCTGGGCTGTCCTAGAAAATTCGCTGTCAGATGTGTACACGGCTGCATTGGCAGCTGGCAGGGAGATGCCAAAGGGAGATAAAAGACCTGCGTGCTGCGCTAACAGGCTGCAAACGCAAACAGTTCCTGTTTGAGCAACAGCAACATACGAAGATGAGGGTAGGGAGGATGTTTGGTGAAACCACAGGCCAAAATTGGGCCTTCGAATGTGAAGAGCATGGGCTGAGAATCTATTGCTAGACTTGCAAGCAGCAGGTGATAAGACCGTATTTCACACAAGTAGACATTCAGATAGACCCGCACATACAAATTTAGGCATAGCATGCACGCAGGTTTCGTGCCTAGACAGCTTTGCTGCTGAGGTGCGCTGCTTTCCTGACAATAGTTGGAGCAGTGCAAGCCCAGCGCTTTTCCCTAGGCAAAGCCTGATGATAAAGCACCCTCGGACTGGCATGCCCACGTGCGTCCGCGTGAGGCTTGTCTCTAATGACACCGGCACTCCTAAAGCCAGGTGGCTTTTACAAGTAGCGATGGCCCTGGAAAGTCAAGGGTGATGCTGATTTTGCAGAGAAACAGGAGTCCGGGAGCGCGCTGATGACCAGATTCACGTGCCGGTCTCACGCCACGAGCCCTCCCGCTTGCACGGGCTCCCCAGAGCCCTGCGGAGGCAGGGAGAGCCCGTGCACGGGTCATTTGAGCTGAGCTGGCGCTGGGCAGGGTGCAGATGCTGGACAAGAAACCCCTAATAAAATGACTCCTGCCACGTTGCAAGGACTCTATATTTATTTATTTTTTCACAATTGGCCCAACTTTTAATTTGCAACAATCCAATTGTGCAGGGTTCAGCTACGAGAACTTTTAAAGTGTTTGTTCTGTATTAAACTTGTGATTCTTCAGTTTCTCTGTCCGAGAATCTCCTGTGGCCTTTATATAAAGCTCTTGGGCTACGGTTTTCCTGCTATTGTATCAGAGAATTCGCTGCATTTTCAGCCCTGGTGGATTGTGGTATATCAAGATCTCAAAACTGTCACTGAAGCAGAAACCCCAAGCAGTCCCGTTGAAGCAACATTTAAGATGCAAAATCCTAAATGAAACCAGGGGTGGGGGGAGTATTTCTCTGGCAAGAAGCTCTAAAGAACAAAAAGTAAAACTGAAAGGCGCATCAAGACAAGATGTTTCCATCAAATCAGTGCACTACCTCATTCCATATATTATCAGCTCTTCTTGAAACATATTACCTGGATATCAGTTCCATATTCGCTATGGCCAACCCCTGCAATTACAGCAGAATAACAGCATTTGTTTCTCTAGCCAAAAATGGTGTCAGGTGATTGTGGAAGAATCCTGGCTTTCTTTAAACAGGAAATCTGTAGCCCTCATGGGGAGTTAAAAATACAATTAAAAACATGAGCCAAGCATAATGTACAGTCTCAAGTTACCCCAAAGCAAGCAAAAGAATTCAGACTGTCCTATTTAACCACAAAAAATGACTTTTTAAGGCCACGTTCTGGAGGGAGCAGGAGACAGCTAATCCATGACTTTTGATGCACAGGATGTGCAGTATCGGTCTAAAGACTCATTTATGGGGCTATTTCTGGAAAACTGGATTTCTCTGCATGTTAAATTTGGAGTAATTTTTAAAATTATTTTATATTTGACATTCCTAATGAGATACTAATACGCAGAACACCTGTACTTTAGGAAGTCTCGTTATATTAAAAGCTCGGAGAAAAAAAGCACACGCGACAGACACAGCTACGTTAGCAAAAACTCAGGGGAGGCTGCAAAAGACTTCCTCTACTGGAGAGCTCGTTTGTGCTAGATAAGTATTGTTGCTGGCAGGATTACGAAATTCTTCTGAGCAGCAACTCCTCTTCAGTACAGGCAACATCATAAGAGGAAAGAAACCCTTGAAAGTTTGCTCATAAATAGCTGAAAAATGAGTAGTCTTGTGTCACTGTATGGTAGACAGCCTGTCTAAGCGCGTGGCTCAGCTGGGCAATGCATGAACGGTCCTGTGAAGTGGAGCGTGAAAAGGTGAAGCGTGTCGCTCAAGACAGCGTATCAAGGACACCCTAAGGACATGCTTCATGGAGTGCAACTTCCTAGCCAAGTCGCTGGAGCTCTTAGAGTCAGCAACGAGGCTCCGCAGGCCTCGTCTGTACGCAGAGCGTTTCCTCAGGCAGAGAAAGCACGCCAGCCGAAGGAGTAGCTGCGGAGCCGCTCACGCGGTAAACAGTACTGCTGCTTGTGTAAGAGAAGGCCACCTGCATTTAGGTATGTACCACGCATTCGCTGAGCGCTTGATTCCTCCACCCTCACCACGATATTGTCATCTTCGGCTGCAAGCAGCAGCACCCATTTCAGTGTCAAAGATTTAGACATTGTCAGTTGAGGCAAAGTGAAAGTGGGTAAACCTTTTTTTTTTATTTTTTTTCATCCTTGCAAAATCAAAGCAGTAGAAGCAATATTTCGGGACTCGCCCCTTCCGTTGCAGTCAAAATCTTTGTTCGTGCCCTGCTTGGGGAGCCTGGGAAAGTGAGTTACGCTAGGAGAACTGTTACGCTAGGAGGAAATCACAAAGGAAATCATCAAGGCTATTGCAGCTAACAAGGTGAAAATGGCCTAAAATGTCTTGCTTGGCTCTAGCTAGCAGAAAATTCCTTGTGATGGGTAAAAATGGGTGGGGATGACATTGACTCATAGTCAATACCAGTAATTCTCATGTACCACACACAGCACAGTAACACTGGTAAGCAGAACTGCTTTGAGCTTTCAGTGCACAGAGGACGTGCTTGTGCTGTGCAGCGTACGTTAAACCGTTTGGGGAGCCCAGGCAAGGATGTCTGTACGCTGTCCGTTGGCGTTCAGGGGATGCAGCGTCTCAGCCCAGTGCCAGGCTGGGGAACCTCGTCAGCGCGCCCTGTCTCACCCTGCAGACATGCCCTCTCTTAACATTTAGTACAAAAGCCATCACCGATTTGCGTTCCTGCCTCAGCAAGCAAAGTAGTCCTGTGGCGCTGTTCCATCCTGGGTGGAAAGAGACAGAGACCAAGATTAAAAATAAAGTAACTTGTGGGAAAGCACCTGGCTCTCAGACATTCCCTCACTGAGTCTCATGCCCCCAGTGTTCACCATCAAAGAGCAAGATACAAACCACGGAACATCAATTAAAGGTCTATTTTAGAAATGTGTATCCTTTCTGGCAAGTCTGCTTCACGGGAGCTTACCAAATGGTGATTCTTGGGAACAATCCCAGCTTCACAAACTGATCGCTGCTCATTTTTGAGATCTGTTGCCTAATAACAACCCAGAATTTATGACCCATTCCTTCTTGGGAGATGCAACACTCATTACCAGAAACGCTTCCAAAATCTCATCTTTAGAATGGAGCAGCTATTTTAACAGAGAAAGGACCTTCCTAGTGTCTAGGTAATTGTGCCCACAGATGACAGCTCAGCTTGGAAGCAAGTGTCAAAGCTGGGTAAAGGCATGATTTGTGCCCTCACACGGCAGGAACGCTGTCTGCTTTGTTAGTGGGAAGATTGTTTTTGTGCAAGCAGACCCTGAGAGCATTATAAGGACATGTAGCTGGGGCCTCTTACCCTGAGTGGCCGTGTTAGTCTGTGCTGCTGCCAGTGTTTCTTTCAAAAGACCTCAGTACGCACAGGGCATGGCCAACGTGCATGGAAACAAACTGCAGGTGCACTTCAAAACCCTTCATTTAGTAGGACCAGGTTTGTGTGTAGCAGGTGCAGAACTGAGTCCAGGCACGGGAAAGACAGTTTCCTACGACAGCAGGCGGCTGTGGCTCTGCTCCTCGTTTTACCTATGCTAGAGCCCTGGAGAGCTAAGCTAGCCCTTGCTGCCAAGAGAGGGTGCGGGATGACTGCTTTGAGGCACAAATGAGGTACCTCTGTATGGCGTATCTGGATGGCACTGGAGTCAGCTGTCTATTCTTGACTTGCAAACAGATCAGTAACCTGCAAGCAAAGAGAATAAATTATGGAACTGCAGTTATTTTACGAAACATGCCCAGAAGAAGCAAAAGCAGCCACAGATGGGGATGTGAAAGTGTGATCACAGTGTCTTGGAGAACTAAGGGGTGTCTAACATTTATGCAGAGAAAGAGACAGGAATCAGAGACAGGAAATGTCTGACTAGACAGATTCGTTACGCCATTTATCCAAGAATTCTGGTGGCAAAACAAACAATAAAGGTAAAACAAATCAAAAAGATATCCTTAGGCAGGAGCTGTGACATTGGGACTTTTGTCTCTGCTGCGACTCCATTAGCACAAGGGTCGGAGACCTATGAGGCAAATATGGTGGTTTTAGTTTGCCAGTGTACCTCTGTAGTACACGTCTGAACAAGGCCACAGAACGACCCATCAGTTTGCCTTCTTACCGTTTTAGCCCAGGAAAAACACACGCATGTCTAGCTTACACAGAAAAAAATTAGACGTACAAAGTCAAAAACCGTACAAAATAGAAAATGCCAGGATGAGAATTGCAAACGCAGGCTTACTTTGCCCCCTCCTGCATAACGTGTAGCGATAAGGACTTTAATTTTACAATCACCTATCAATTTTATCACAGGACTTCAGCTTCATTTGGTGCATCGGACAGGCTGTGCCCAGTGAGCGAGCAAGTGCTCAGTCTTTGCTTTCCTCCCATTCACAAAGTGAACCCAGGCCGTGCTCAGGGCACACTCTTCAACTCTTCCGCCAGTAAAAGGATGATCTGTTTTCTTCTGAGTATTTTTCACTACCGCAGGGAAGTGCGTCACTGTTGTGTGAGATGAGCAGGTGTGGTAGTCTTCTTCAGAGGTAGAGAAATGATGCATAAACAGTTCTTGGCCAGATTCATCCTTTATACTTTTCAGGGGAGCATTTGAAATGTCTACGACCTGATTCCGCAGCTAATGCAATGTCGTTGTGCACTGTACATTCAGTTCTGAAAATTAGTTCTGAACAACTGATTTAAGTGACTTGCCTAGTTTTACATAGGTGCGAGGAGAAAGAAAGCAGCTTCATAATTTAATTTGTGTGTGCATGCTCATCCTGTATATACAGGGGAGCAGACGAGCTTATGAACTACGAGATTTTGTGCATCGTGTATTTGAAAAGACTGAGAGAGTGGGTTGCCCCCTGGCAGGGAAGCATTTAAGAATCATAGTTTTCAGTTGCAATCAAAGGAGTTAAAATCTTGCTTTTTTTTTTTCAAAACAAAAGTAAAGCTTCTCTAACCATCAGACTCCAGCGTCTGCTGCTTTAAGAAACAATACATATCACAATATCTGTGATCGTGTTGAAAAGTGCTGGTAATAGTGGAAGCCTTGGCAATTCTGCTGGGTAAGGCAATAACTTTTTGTCAGTACCGGTCAGGGCGGATTTGACTTGTACCACAGCTGTTCGTCAACCCAAGTACGCACCTCACCTTGAGTTAGGAACACGAGCCTGTGTTGAAGATTTTTGAGCAGCCATAGCTTCGCGCGACAATAACTAGTTTGGTGCATGCTCAGTAACGTTACCTTTTGGCTTCAGATGTCTTGTGGTGGTCACTCAATTTAGGGGTCTACAAAGGGGTGGTGGACTGAAAAGAGAGAACACTGCAAGCAGCAGCAAGTGTTGTCCAGCATAGGGGATAGTATGAATAAACCCAAATCAAAATAAGCAAACATAAGAACCAAGAAATACTTTCCAGCCTATGGCTCAGTTCAGTTTGTCCAGGCATGATGGTGTTTTCACCACCCCTCTGCTGCTGTGGTAGCGGTAACTTCCAGGGGGGGAACAGTCACTCCAGAGCACGCCTTTCTTAAGCTATTATAAAACCCCCCCCCCCCCCCCCGCAAAAGGAACAAAACCCTGAATAGTCGTGCAATAGCTGTAGCTAATGAACACCACTGCTAATCTTCCTTTTCATCGCTGCACGGCAGACCTTACACTCAACATGCCTGCTCTGTACTTGTCTTTCAGCGATGTAACTCAGTGACTCCACTGACTTCTCGGTGAGCTGTTTTTGGCAAAGGAGAGGAGTTGAAATGATGAAACAGGAGAAAGCCACGCTAATTACTTAGTCAAAACGGCTAACTTCTGCCTAAGCAAGAAGAATTGCAGAATAAAAACTCCCAGTAGTGGAGCCTCCCTCACCATCAACAGCAATTTACACTTAACGTGAGTGACCAAGACGCGTTTGCCAGGAGGACTCACCCCTAACTTTGCACAAAAATGAGTGACTGCTGAAGGGCTGGTTTCAGCTCACGTTTGAAAGTCATACACAGACAGTTCTTAGGTATCACCTTCTTGTTAACATCCCACTATTAATGCCATCATTAACGCATGCTAATTATTTTCACTTACGACGCCCAAATGAACATAATTCTTTTCCCTTTTTTCTTCTGGCAGTTACTTGCATTCCTGTAGTACCTTGATGCACTGTTCCTAGCACTGAAAGGGTAATACGTAAGCACGGTAAGAAACATTCCTTGCTACACTGAGCTAATAGCTTAACGTAATAGAAATTACACTAAGGGATGTAAGAAACACAAGGCAGCACAGCAACAGCAGAGGAGAGGAAGCTGTACTGGTAACAACATGCAGTCCCATAAGTACGTGTAATTAGGCAGTTTAAACTTCTATGGAGTTTGGGGATTTTTCTTTATGACGTTGTTCTAGCCCTTAGGTAATTAGGTGGTTGCACTTGACTGCACAGTGTTTAGTAATATTAATTGCCTTTCTTATTGGAGGGTAGAGGACTGAAACCGTAACTTTGGCTGATCAGCTCTGGGTAATAAAAATTGTATGAAAAGAACTATTTTGGGCAGTGTTAGCACCTTTCAGCACTCTCTTTTATACAAAAGTAACAGGTCTGACAAGCAACACAACAGTGACATCCTTCTGCTGAGTCAGATGCTCTGTTTCAAACTTACATAACTGGGATATATTTCCATATTCCCTCCCGCCTGTCGTACGTATGAAGTACAAACAGAAAGAATGAACGTTCCAAGTCTGCTCACAAGGAACAAGACAGTAGCTTAGTGCAGAAGCCTCAATGTTGCCACTTAAATTTGAGACAATATCTTAAAATCTCCACTGCGGAGTAATTAAATACCACATTAGTCAGTAGAGTAGGGTCTGTTAACAAACGACATTTGGAGTCCATATGCTGCACAGAAGCATGCTGAAACTTATTCTGTTTCCTTCTTGTGGTAGCTTGAATGCTCAGTAAACACGAACTTGGTCAAACAGTTGAGTTGTTTCTTCACTTTCAGAAAAATAATTATAAGTGCATGGTCGGGGGAAGAAAAACCTAATTGTTGCAACGTTTCAATGCCATTTTTCTGACTACAACTCGGGTATGTTCCGTCATTTCTCAGGGTGTTATTGTTTGCAATTGTGAGGTGTGAATGTCTACTAAAATCCCACAGCTCTAACACACATAACTAATTTACTAGAAACTTCATATGGCAAGTAAGCATTTATGTCCACAGCAGAAATGTCTGTAGAGTAACATACGCTGTATATTTATAAAGAAGTGAAGTGCCAAGACAAGTAAGTTTAATGCCATCATTTAAGCCGCGTTCCTCATTGACTACCTGAACGTAGAACAGATAGAAGTACACCTTCAGCTGCGTGGACTGTATGTTCTCAAAGATATAATGAATTTTTGTTAAAAGTGAAAAATAAGTACAAGTAAAAGAAATACTGAGAGAAAAAGATAAGAAAAAGCAACAGAGGAAACAAAAAGGTAAGAAACAGAGCAAATTAAATCAGAAATATGTGTTTGTAGATAAGTCTTAATTTATATACTTACAATATTTGTTTGCATGTATATTGTTTAAAAAAAAAAACCCTTAACAGCTCCGCTTGTCAAAGTTGATACAGGTCTTTGAACTTCCTTTTAGAGATGAGAAAATGTTTGGCAAATAAATTCTTTACCAAACATGCATGTGTATTCATTCTGAAACAAGAATTTGAGTCGTTTCTTCTGGAAAAAAAAAAAAACCAAATGATTAATTAGAACCTACATTCATAACCTACACTGTACATGTTGGCTTCAACATTCACCAAACTCATATGCCTAAACTGTAAACAGACAGTGAGCACATCCGAACGGAGGGTGCTAGTCCCCTGGCAGAATAACACAACCACCAGGTTACAAGGTGGGTTCAGTTTTTGCTTCTGGAGTTATTTTACTGCGTGTGGATTAATTCACTGCGAATAGGAGAAAGAAACTCTTCAAACTGATGTTCAGGACACTTTGCAAACTGGAGCCTTGGCAGATACTCTGCAAGGGAACGCTGAATCACTTATGCAAACCAGAACTGCGCCAACCGTTCAAAAGCTACCAGCTATGGATTATCCTTTAGCCTTATTTCTCAAGCTGGGTGGGGGGGGAGGTGTTATGAAACAGCAGCAAGTGAAATAGAAAGCTACTGTGTATTTTTGCCTTAAATGCAATGCAAAGTACAAATAGCGCATTGAAGTGATGAACTGCCCCGAAGTCCGATGATTAGACCAGCTACCTGAGCGATGCAGATTCAAATCACATCAGGCAGAGAAGGAAACTGAACCTGGGCCTCCGGCTTCTTGGATGAGTGCCTTTCCCAGTGGGTTCCAGGATAACAGAAAACGTTTAAGCAGCAAACCATTTGCTTTCCTTTCTAGCTTACAAGCACCATTTTAGGGGGAAGGTGTTTTGTTTTATACAAGTATAAAGTTTCGGGGTGTTTTTGTTGTTTTTCCCCCCCCTCACCAAAACAAGAACAGAAGAAAAGAATAACGTTTATTTTGGCTGTCTCTGAATGACTTCCCTCTCTCTTATTTGGCTGCCCAACTGAAAAATCAATTACTCGCACAACCCTATTCCTGCTCTCCATTGACCTACTTTCGGCAGGGCTCCGCTCTCCATCCACCTGGCTTTGGCAACCGGAAGGACACGATCTAAATCGGCCAGAAAGCGCTGTCGGCCCCACTGCGAACGCAGAAAGCCTCGCTGCTGTGCCTCTGTCCCTAAGGAAGACGGGCACTAGCTCAAAGCCACCTTCACCAGCCGGTAGGCGAAGGAGGAAGCCGGGGCAGGCTGGCCGGCGGGTGAGG